AAAAACAAAGCTTTAACCCTAACATGATACTAACAATCATAAATATTAGGAAAGAATAGGAAGCATCGCAGGAATCACAATTGTCATATTTGATATTAGAAATTATAGTTGTTACCCTAAACATGATACTAGGAAAAACAAAACGCCCTAACACGACACTAGGAATCATAATAACAACCTAGACATGATTTCTATATCATAATATCAATAAATCAATTAAAGTACTTAATTGGATGTCTCGTACCTCTTTCTAATAACAAAATACACGCGTTAGTAACTTCAAGGAAAATATAAATCAAACAATTAAATTAAATAATTGAAAGAGATATTTGGGACCAGACCCTCAGAAATCAAACCTTTCACGACTAGGGCGAAGGCAACTTCGAACTTGGCTAGGTGTGTCTAAATCTTATGAATGTGGAATTTTGTATGCAAAAGGGTTGGTTTAGAAAAGAGAGAGAGAGAGAATAATCAAGAATTTCTTGAAGAGAGAGAATTGAGAATTAGAGACTTGTTGATGATTCAAAATGGAGATTTTAGGAGGCTATTTATAGAGAAAATCAGCCGGATGGATAAAAAAAAACAAATCAGAGTTTCGAAGAGAATAAAACGAATTAGCGCCAAACGCCAAGCCTAGCGCCAAACGCCAAGGTTAGCGCCAGGCTCTAATCCTGTCGTCATGCGCTAGAAAACAATTTCCACGCGTTTTCTTAATTTTGATAAAATTTAGCCGTACAGGAGGGCAAAATCATATTTTCCTTAAAAACATTTCTTTTATTCTGATTAAAACTCTAAAAAGTCAACTAAAGTCAATTTATCAATGCTAATTAAATTAGGAATGAAAAGAACCTTCTAAAAGAATCTAGAAAACTATAATCAATTCTAAATGCATTAGGAATGATAAATCAATATTAGGCCCTCCTCTAGATCATTGAGCCGCATATAAATATCAAACAGGGCCCGGTTTAGTATTTTGGCCATAACTTCCTCATTATTTATCGGAATTGGGCTTATAATATATCGTTGGAAAGCTCTTTTTGAACCCGACCCAATTACACTATCATTGGGCCTTTGACATGGACCAAACCAAACTGAATTGGCTGTTTTCTTAAAATAGGTTTTCAAAAATAGAGAGAAAGAAAAGAAATAAAAACTAACCGCAACACTAGACTTTCCACACTTTCGCTTTATTCAATAATCAAATGACGTGAAAGATATTCATCACTGCGTTTGGTTTTGGGGAGACACATTTGGCTGTCTACAACTTCAATCATATTAGCGGAAGTTTCCTTCTACTTGTTGAAGAAGGAGGTAAACCCTTTGTTTTCTTTTTGCTTTAGCATCTCAAGTTTTCTATGGTCAGTTTCAACTTGAATAGTATAGTTATATCTATCAATGAAAGCGTTTACAATAGCATCCCAAGTACATGTTTTTTCTTTGTCAAGGGAAAAGAACCATTGTTGACAAACAATTTCAAGAGATAAAGAAAACAATGAATGAAAGGCTTTCCTATCAATCATGTTTATTTTTAATATACTATATGTTTATTTTTATACTTGTTCATTTTTATTACTATATATTCAATTTTTTTGTTTATGTTTTCATATTTAACTAAATGTTTACAAGAATTTTAAAGGGTGTGGTCCAGCTATACTATGATTGTATGATAGTCGTTTTCATTTTAATATGCTACATGTTCATTTTTTTTTATGTGTTTTCTTTTTATTATTAAATATTCATTTTTGTGAAAGTGTATTTTTTTTTATTATTAATGTTCATACATTGTTATTTGTTCATAATTTATTAAATTTTTTTGGAATTTTTGTAAAAACCCAACCCTAAATACACGACTTTTCTAAATAACCACTTTTTTTTTCCAAATTAACATGTAATACACAAAACTAGTAGGAATCACCACCCCCTCCCTTATCCCGACTAGTTTTTCTGCAAATTTTTCGATTTAGATTTTAGAATCAAAATTAAATTAAAAGAAACCCAAACCCAGCCCTGCCACCTCTAGCACCCCTCGCTTCCCTGTCTCCCTTACCTACACCTCCTCCCTTCCTCGTCTCTTTTTCCAGCCCCGTTTCCTTCCCCTCCTTGGTTTATGGTATATAGTTTCGGGATGGCGAGGGTTATGTGATGCCGCGACAACGACAACGCGTCTCCATCTTATACACCACATACGACAACGCCAGCAACCAATCACTACCCTAAACCAATCCCAAAACCCCTCTATGAATTCCTTGCAAACGAGAACAATCTCATTATTGGGGTCGAGATTCAATTTTATGTTAAGTAGCTTATGATTGAGTACAAATTGTTGTGAAGAACACGCTCAATCTAGGTTCATCTAGCGGTGGAGAAGGTAACAAGTCTTTGAAAAGGAATGTGTATCAAAGGACTTGCGAAGATTTTAATGGAGGAGAAGGGGGTTTTGCGGCAGCGATGGGGGACCGATTGGGATTTTGCGAGTAGGGTAGGGCCTTCGTAAGGTTCATGGTGAGGGATGGGGGATTGGTGGGGTTCGACAACTAGGGTAGTGGTTGGTTGGGGTCGGAATGGTCTAGAAGGTGGTTGGTTGTTTTTGTTTTGTTTATTTTTTTAAAAAAATTTGTTTTAATCTACTATAGTTTTTTTTTATTTTTACAATTTTATTATTTTTACCAATATGGTGGTGACACGTGGGCCCTAAGTCAGAAAACAACCCAGAATAAGCGATGAGGTGGTGAATCCTACAGGATTTGTGTTTTATTTATTTTTTTTTATTTTGTAAAAAAAACAAGGTAGTTATTTAGAAAAATGGCGTATTTGGAGGTGGTGTTTTTTTTTTTTAATTTTTTTTTTTTTTTTTTTTTACAAAATTTCCTTTTTTTAATTAAATGTTTATTTTATTTTATATGATATATATGATGAAACAATGAAACCCCATTTGGCTCATATGCATCTCATTTTGTAGAATTCAACCCAACACTAAGGCGTGGAAATAGGGATGGCAAGATTGGCAACTGGTCGAATTTGGAGTGAATTATACTAAATTCGACTCCGACCCTACAAGAAGTCATGCCTAAATTTGACTCTGAATTCGATCCAACGTTATTATGCGGCCTTAGACTCCGACTCAGATCTGATTTGACTCGACCGAGTTTCTTTGCTTTTTTCGATTTCTTAAAATACATTTATAATGAATTGCCAATTTACAAATGTAAATTGCGATGCCTCTTTGCGCGATGAAGGGTGGGTAAGCCTTGGTGTTGCTGCGTGTATAACAGTGGTGATGTTCTTTTTGCTGGAATTCAATGAACCCGAGGCAGCTGGCCTACTAAAGTGGCAGAGTGCAAAGCGATCTTGTTCGGGTTGAAGCTTACTCGAAGATATGGAGTAAAGAAGTTGGTGATTAAATCGGATAGCCAAGTGGTCATTAACCGTCTATTGAAAGATGCAACTTTCTTTTCAGATCTTGATACGATTCTAGATGATGTTATGTTTGTTTGTAAGGATTTTGATTTTTTTTTCGTTTTCTCATGTTCGTAGGGATGGGAACTTTGTTGCCCACCATTTAGGTAGGATAGTACCTTTTGGTCTTGAGCACGTATGGGAGTCTCATTGTCCTCCTTCCATTGCTCCTTATGGACAATTTGTCCAAATCTTAATGGAAGGTGCATCTAGCTTTGTTTCAAAAAAAAAAATTAAAAAAAAAATAAAAAATCCAAATAACAACAATAAAACAGTAAAAACATCCAAAAACAAAAGGAACAATAACAATAAATCCAAATAACAACAAAGCAAACAGTAGACTTTACTTGTTAAATTGTCTACATTATGACAAAAAAAAAATCATAAAACTCATAGTAAATTACTAGTACAATAGCAACAACTAATTAAACTCGAAGTGGGTTATTTTCTTGGATTTTTTTATAGGATCTGACCTCAATCCTTGAATCGGATTATTTTAACGGAGTCGAACACGGAGTAAATTTTTTTCTCAGATTGGCGCAGAGTAGGGTTGGATCCAGACTAAATTGCCAAGCCTATGTGGAAATATTACTCACCATGATTATATCCAAGTAGTGAAAGGGCAAAATGTTGGGATCAGCCGAAATTACCTCACTAAATGGGAAGTGGATTTTGCTGTCATGTTTGGAGCCAAAACACTTGGATTAGCACAACACTAGGAGGGTCCTTTCGACGGAAGGGCTCGCTGAACTTGATTTGGGCAGGTCGAGGTTATATGGGGCTATGGGCTTAGCCCTTTTGTGAAATGGTTTCTCAAGTACATTGTTTCATGCATATTCATCACTTCTCTTGTCGGATAACAAAATCATGTCCAACGGGCAACGACTCTATATTTGGCTGTAAACTAAGAGCAAGTTTAGCCCAAGTCTTAAGATTTGAGATGACATCATCATCTCGAATCTAAAGACTTATGTCTAAGATTTCCTCCATTTTTCTTCTTAAATCTCAAGCAAGTCTCAAGTTGAGACTTGGAAGTTGAGTCTTGAAATTCCAAGACTCAACTTAAGACTTGAGATTGGAACCCACCTCAAGCTTTGTTCATTAATGTTGTTATTATATACTTCCTCTGTTCTTTTTTACTTGACCCGCTTTGACTTTTGCACTATTCACCACCTCTTCTTTGACCGTGTTTTGTGAATAATATGTAAGGATCGGAAAAACATATTCATGTTGGATCATTTTGAATTCGTCTCCATAAGTACTATCATAATATATAACTTTTATATTTTTTAATTATGGAGAATTAAAGTTATTGACCGTTAAAGTTTTGCATTGGCAAGCGTGATAAAAGAAACAGGTCAAGTAAAAAAAACAGAATAAGTAGAAAATATAAAGAGATAGTTAATATATATATATATATATATATATATATATATATATATATATATATATATATATTTGAGTCTTAATGCTAAAGTGATAAATTTGAACAAGTCTTAGTGAGTATCAACAAGAATTTAAAGACATAATTTTCTATGGAGATCACAAAAAATGATGGCATATCTAAGTTTTAAGAGCTAGGGCTAAACTTACTCTACTCGTGCAACAACAATCAAGTATTGTTTAATACTAAAAGTCATGTCCTTGGTTCGTTTGGCAACTTGTGGTCCATGAAAAGGTTTTGGTCAAAACCTTTTGGTTATCCGAGCTCCAAGGTATTTGGAATGATGTACAAGGGTGTAATCATTCACTTCGTTTTCCCTCTAATGGTTTAGCTAATGGGTTTGGTTGTTTTTAGTTGTTTATTTTAGCTCTCCTAGGTTGTAATTTGTCCTTTATTTATGAAGTATTCATTGTAAAAAAAAAAAAAAAAAAAAAAGGTCATGTCCTCCTCGGAATGGGCTTGTGCTTGTCCTATGCGTTGTAAGTGTCTACGTTCCACTTGGCCCCATGTCCTTTGTGTTGCTCATAACCGCCTTTTCAAGTAGTCCAGATAACCATAAACTCTAAAATTAAATTAACTGACACTAAGTTCAATATCTTTCTACTACTCTAAACTTCTATCACAGTTGAAACAAAAATCAAAAAAAATTTGGAAGAAGAGACGACGTCGTTCAACAACTCAACCCAACCATCTCCTCGAAACTCCACCATGTTAGGCTCATACTACACCTTCATCCTCATATTCTTATCCCCGGTATTCATCGCAACTTTCATGTATCACTTAGACCCACTCGAACCGGCTGAGTTACCTCTACACGAGCTAAGTAAGCCGGAGACGGGGGCGGCCCGAGTCAATAACAACCTGCTAAAAGGTGCCGAGTTCATCGGTGTTGGAAAATTGGTTGGACCCGAGGATATCGCTTTTGATCCGATTTCTGATATTATATACACAGGTTGTTCTGATGGGTGGATTAAGCGAGTCAGGGTGAATGATTCGGTGGTTGACGATTGGGTTTTTATTGGTGGTCGACCTCTTGGACTTGCTCTTGGGTTGAATAACGAGCTTATTGTTGCGGATCCTTTTCAGGTATGTTACTCTTGTAGCAAATAATTTGAAATGCAGATAATATTTAATTTGATTTCTCTGAAAATGAGCTGAAAAATGTTTTAAAATTTATTTTCTCGCTTTATTTTACGGTATCTAAAAATCATAATTTGTATCTTTACTACTCTCTCCGTCGCCAACATTTCGTTCCTTAAGGATTAATTTTGCGGTAATTAAGAAATTTAAATAAGAAAAAATAAAACATATTGAAAAAATAAATTTATATGAATTTGTAAAAAACAGAGAGATAAAGTCAGTGGCTAACCCACCCTTGCGAGTCACATGACATAGGAAAATAAAAGGATATAGATATTAAACATTACAATTATTACTTGTATATGCTCATTGGTGCAGTGGTTGAGGCATAACATAGTATTAAAAATAAGTGAATGAACAAAATTTTATATGAAAAAGTTAATTTTGCACAAATATTGTTGTAAATTGGTGGGTATTTTCATACAAATGAGCCAATTATTTTAAAACTAAAACTAGGCCAAAAGGGTCGAAATTTTGAGGACGAATGGAGTAATGTATTACGTTGTAATATAAAAGATGTTTATATATATATATATATATATATATATATATATATATATATATATATATATATATATATATATATGAAGCAAATGTTATGGATACTATATTGTACGAGTATTACTTTGAATTTTTTTTTTTGGAAAATTTGTGAGAAAACCTATTATAACACTCTTTTTGTCATAAAAAACCTTTTTAAAACCTGTTTCTAAATTTTTTTAAAAAAGATTAAGTAGTTAATAATTAAATTTTAAAATTTACCAATTTATTTGTTATTTGATGGTGATGATGGGGTTAGGGGTGGTTTAAGTTTTTTTCTTTTTAATTTATCAATTTATTTATTATTTCTAAATAATTAAATAAGATTAATTAGTTAATTAGGGGTAATCAGGGGCTAATTAGAGGTTTTGATTCTCTTCAACAAAATAGGATTTTTTTTGAAAATTTTCCTTTTTTTTTAAGGCATTGTACAAGTATCACTTAAAGTAAGAGTTGAATTAAAAGTTAAATAATGAATTTGAACACTTTGTGCACGGAATTTCCTAAATGATGTGCTCCGTACAAGTATATAATTCCACTAGATTAGTATCTAACAACTATTATGAAATTTTCAAAAACTCATATGAAATATCTGCCAAAATCTAATGTCCATTTCACCTTCCAGTTTACAGTGTTTTCGGTAAAACAATGGGACCTTCGGCGAGGTCCTCAGAAGTGGGCTAAAGACTGGGCTCGATCCAAATGATGATGGGCTGAGGATTTCCTGCACAACAAAACACACGTAAATTGGCCTCGGGGGTTGTGTCGAGGAAGGCCCCTCCGATGCCGAAGTCAGTACAGTGCGTAAGGAAGAGAGAGTTATGCAAGAAAATTAATTGTTTGAGGCTATATGTGAATAAATGTAAAATGAGACAATTGGTGGCTTTTATACCTTAGCACATGAGGAGAAATGGACCTAAAGCCAAGTGAGCTTGCCATGTTTACCGGACCTTGACTTGACTTGACATGGATTGGAGAGTTGAATCTTTAACCTTGGGCTTATGATTAAATCATTTATGAACTGGCCCAATTAGACTAAATTAGACCCAAACACATGGCATCTTCTCAAAATAAAAAAAAATAAAAAATTAAAATAATAATAATATGTAGTAATAGTTTTAATATAGCATAAACATTACTCTGTATTGCGTACGGTCGTACGAAGTAGCTAGTTCTCTGCATTACAAACACAATCTCTCGTTTTTTACACGTGCTTTGAAAAATGAAAACATAAAAATCACTAAATTTACAAATCTATCGTTTTCTAATGATTTTTTTTTTTACTTTTTCCAAGAAAAAAAAATTAAAAAATTATTTTTTACCAAATTTTTTTTAAAGTTTTATTTCACCATAAAAAAATTAAAAATTATTTTTTATCGCCTGTCGTCAAAATTCTAACGAAATTTTAAAAAAATTTCAATTTTCGTGCCAAACACATGATCTTTAAGGGTTTTAAAGGCCTTTTGGCCTTAGGGATCCAAATTGAGGTCAGAATTGACAAAAAAATGAACGAAGATGCTTCCTATTGTGTTTTAAAAATATCTCGCTTTGCGTGAAATATGCAAAACGAGGCATTTTCGATCACTTTTTGTCAATTTTGACCTCAAATTGAATTCAAATGACCAAAATGCCCCCTAAACTTTTGAAAAACATGTTTTGCATACGAAAATAGAATAAATATTATTTAATTCCGTTAGATTTACGATTTTCTTGACAACATGTGGTAAAAAATAATTTATTAGAAATTTTTTGGGTGGTAAATTTTTTTTGATTTTATTTTTATTTTTATGGTAAAACGTAAAAGTTAAAAAATCTTTTTCTAATCATAAAGATGTGTAATGTCGTGTTAGATGATTAACGTTGTAGGCTTGTGCAAACATGTGTTTTGTGTCAACTTTGCATTAGTTATAAATATTTATGACTTGTGAAGTTATAAGTATGCACATGTGTATATATTTTACGGCTATTTCACCAAATGCCACTGAATACTTTAAATATTCACCAAATGCCATCAATTTTTTCAAAATTCACCAAATGCCACTGACAAACAGTATATTGTCATGGCGTGCCATTAATGAGCTCTGATCGTTAGCTATTCGTTACTGCAATTCTTAATTCACCAAATGCCACCGACTACTTTTGATTTTTCATGAAATGCCATTATTTATATAAATTATTACACAATATACCTCAGACTTAATGAGTTATAACAGCTAGTTAGTTTTACCTTTTTTAATTTTTTTAAGGGTAAACTAGCCGTTATACCCAATTTGTTGTATAAACTTGATAATTAGAACACACATAGTAAGTAGCCCTCTATTTGCATAATCATGAGTATTGCCCGTTACAAAAACTCTTTTGTAACAAATTTAATTGTGCTCGTTACAAATAATGTTTTTTCTACTAGTGCACCAACAAAAGATTCTCAATTCTGTTTTTAAATTAGGTGTACTGATGTGTGTAATGGTTGTGACCATAATTGTGAAGTGAACTATTGTAATTACAATTAAATTGAATAAAGTGGGAAATTGAACATTCATTTAAGCATAATTGCTTACTGTTTAAATCATGTGCTGGAAAACTTGATTTCCCGTTTACATCAAAATGCCCAAAACATAACAGAGAATTTGTCCATAAAAAAGATACCAAAAAACACAGCACACTGTTTGTTGGGGATTTTGTGTTCAAACAAGGGTCACAAAGAAAGCAAATAAATTAACGAAAAATTCTTTGAGGCGTGAATGGGATCACTTTACCAAAAGTATAAATTTGAGTATCACGGAAATTTACTCAGGAGATACAATGAAGGTGATTGGTGATGATAATAGTTAAAGAAACCTTTGTAAACAAGAAAATGAAAAATGGATAAGTCATTGTTTTATCTTTCATTCTCTAACTTCCATCATGTATATAGTATATAATTATAGAGCAAAACTCATCAACTTAACCGTCAAAATCAAGCAGCGTTGAACCCAGAAATTAGAGCTGATCAAAACTAGCCCGGCCCGGCGGGTTTTGGGCAGCTTTTTTTGGCCCTAAATCGGATTGGGTCGGCCCGAATTTTATATTTTTTGGTTGGGCTTGGGAATGCTTTTTTTTTTTATGCTATTTTATTTCATTTTTTTTGGCCGGGTTTTGGCATGAAAATTTTGGCTCGAAGCTTAAATGAGCATATTTTTTATGCATCGTCCCGGCTCGCTCATTGATCAGGTCTACCAGAAATCAACCGGGCTTGATCGGGCTAAAGAACCTCTACGAAAATATCAGCTCTAAGGCCCGATCGAGCAGCTACTGCCCGATCGAGCGACGGAGCAGATTTTCTCAACCTCGCATACGCGCCTGATCGAGTGGTGATGGCCCGATCAAAGCGGCAATTCAGTGAGTTTTACCCTCACTCTCGCGTTCGATCGGGCTGCGTTAATGGAGTTTACTACTCCTTGATTTTCTCTTATTAATTGTTTAATTAATTGAACACCATTTCCTAAGAAAATAATTAAACACCATAAATTTATCTCAAATACTCTAAATTATTCTACACTATTTGATTAGGGGATTTTTATCCACCAATCAGCATCCGACACGTGGGCCAGCCAGGTTTCGCCACGTGTCCTTCATGTAGGCCAATAGGAGCCTGCCACGTGTCATCAAGAGATTCGTCCTCCTTGGACCAATTGCAATGTGACACGTGTCCACCCATGCCAAATGGGAAAACCGTCCAACAAGGCCCAATCATTGTGGGAGGCCCAGTCAGCCTTAGGTTTAACCTAAACCTAGTACTGGCACGCATCCCAAGGCATATAAATATGCCCATTAATCCTCATTAAGGGGGATTACGCACATTTAACATTCTCACCTAGAGAGACCCAATTACTTTTATTTCCGCATTAATTACTCCTTAATCAAGTACTAACTTGACCGTCGGAGGCGGATCTCCAATCGTCCGGAGCATCCGTTTGTTTTGCAGGTACAGGCGTCCGGTTCCAGTCTCAAAATTGTAACTCTCCCGCAGGACATCAGAAAACCCCAAAAAAATTTGGCGCCGTCTGTGGGGAGAGTACTTCTGAGATGGCATCCACGTCTGTACCGACTCCTAAAGAGAGGCGTCCCCTTGACGACCCTCAAGTTCAGCCGGACCATGATACTGAGGAAGAATTTGAAGTTGAAGCTCACACACCTTCAGACGGGACCCTAAGGGCCCGACGCACCCGTCATACGGAAAGGAGAGAACGGGAAGATCTTCAAACTGGACTCAGTGATCCAGTCGGCGCACCGCCTGTTCAGCAGCAGCCGGCTGATGGGTCTGCTCCCATTACAAGAAACGAACTCATGACCTTCATGAAGGGCTTCAAGGGAGAGATTCAAGAGTTGCTCAACAAGAAGCCGCCTGCTCTGGCCAAGGAGCAGTC